ACCCACGTTTAAGGCAGTCCTGAGTTCTGCCTGTATCAGAATTATCTGGGCTGCTTATTCAAAAATAAAGGTTCCTGGGACTCACCTAAAGCTAATAGATGCAGATCTTTTGAGTGTAGGACCTGGGAATCTACATTTTGAATTACTATCTCAAGTGATTCTTCCTTAAGATTTGGGACCCATTGATGTGAGGGGAAAGCATAGGAAGAGGAGTCTCTGGAAGAAGCTGAGAAGGAATTGCCGGAGTTAGGAGGAACCACGGAAGAGGCCTATTGAGAAATCACATAGATTGTCAAGGAGGTGGAGTAGCTGGCAGTGTTAGAACCCATGATTTAAGGCAGTGGTCAGTATAGGGATTAAGTAAAATAATATCCAAAATCTGTCCATTGGATTTAGCAGGTGGAAGATTAATGGCAACCTGTCAGGATGAAAGGAGGGAAGAAAAGGAAGATGGAGACTAGCTCCACTCTCATGAGGAAGTGAGTTAGATGGAACCACTCCTTATAGACTATTTGTTGTTTTTTTAATTTACTGATGTTAGCCTAAATTTTAAAAAAGCTTTAAAAATGCATAAAAGAAAATATAAACACACACAATTAAAAAAATGTTCATAAAGCAGATATCCATTTAACCACTACCAAGGCCAACTATAGCTACATACATCAATCTCCAGTCAAAAGGACTTAATGTCCCTTGGTGGTAACTATGGTCCTAACTGGTACGATAATCGTTCCCTTGGTTTGCTTTATATCATCTGTGTGATTACCTGTAAATGACATAACTTAGTTTTATCCATTTTTGACCTTGAGATAAACAAAATCATACTGTATATATGTATGTACTATATTTATATCTTGTTTCATTAGGAGAATACTTTTGAAATTCTCAGTTTTAATAGTTCAGTAGCAATAGTTTATTTACTTTCATAGATTTCTATTTTGTGAATATGTCTCATTTTGTTCTAGTGAAAAAAATTATATGTTTCTAGGCAATCTATCATCTGAATTTTCAAATTTATTGGCATAAAATTTGTAGTCTCATTTTATTGTTTATTGGATGTGTAGCAATGGCCCTTTTTTCATTCTTTATATTGATTATCTCTGCTTTATCTAGTCCACCCATCCCTCCCCCCCAACCGTTTTCTTGGTCAGTCTCACCAGTGGCTTATCAATTTTAATAGTTTTATCAATAGCTTTGTTGTTTTCTTGTACACATATTTTCTATTTTATTAGTGTTTATCCTCCACTGTTGTGTTTATTTTACTTTTTTCTGATTAATTTCATCCTCTCTTCACTTCTAATATATGCATGTCAAGTTGTAGTTTATCTTAGTAATGTGCAGATAGATATATATATATAGTTTTGGTATATATTTTTGGCTACCATTCAGTTTAAAATATGTTCTAATTTCTTTTGTCATGTTTTTTCTTGGACTGAGGGTTGATTAGGAATGTATGTCTTAATTTTAATCTGTCTTTAATTTTAATGTATGTGTGTTTTTTCATATTACCTACTTGTTACTGATTTCTGACACAAAAGATACTGTGGTCAGGGAACCTACACAATATGATTTTAGTCATTTGAAGTTTATTGAGACTTGCTTTGTGCTATGTGTTCAGTTTTGCTAAATATTCTATATATATTTGAAGAGAATATGTATTTTTCAGTTACTAGTTTCTTAGTAACTAAAGTTAATGCAAGTTATTTCCTTACTCTTGTTTGTTCTATGAGTTTATGAGAGGTGGATTAATTAACTTTGTGATTATGGATTTGCTAGTATCTTTTCAAATATTTTCCCTACCTTCTCACCTTCCCTCAGCCAAAGTCTTGACTGTTAATTTCTTGAAGGCAGGGCCCATGTCTTAATCACTATCTTATTTTAGTGTCTGGTATATGACTGGAAAATATATATTGATTGCTTGATAGGCAGCTGATGAGGTGGATGGGAAGGTGGGTAACTAATTTGAAAAGACTATTTAGTAATCCACCTGATTCTCTCCCCACAGTTTTTTCTTTGCTTAGAATTCCCAGTGTTTGCAATAAAATATCCCTGCCCCAAAGTGCCCAGAATCTATCAGAGTATCTTACCTTGATACCCTTCTTTTTATTCCCATCTCTCTGGAGACAGAAGGAGCTTCAAGAGCAGGGGGAGATCAGAGTCATCCAACTAGGCTTTGACTTGGACGCCCATGGAATTATCTTCACTGAGGACTACAGGACCAGAGTGCGTGTAACTGTGTGTGTGTGTCATAGGGTGTGGGGGCAAGCAGGGAAGTTGGAGAACGGAAGTAAAAAGAGACAATTTTTCCACTCTGTGTGTTACAGAGAGGACACAGAGCTCTGGTCCGTAGTAATACAAAGGAGAAGAAAAGGAGGTAGAAGGACATGAGCAAAAGGGAAAATGGGAGGAGGAATATCCTGGAGGTGGTCAGTAGAGGCTGAGGTTGGGGCCAGACCTCATCTCTCATCTCTGGTTCCAGGTCCTCAAGGCCTGCGATGGCCGACCATATGCTGGGGCAGTGCAGAAGTTTCTGGCTTTGGTACTTCCAGCCTGTGGGGACCTTAGCTTCCAGCAAGACCAAATGACACAGACCTTTGGCTTCAGGGACCCAGAGATCACGTGAGACTTGGGGGAGTAACAGAGCTCAGGCATCTGAGACTTCCCTGCATCCATCCAGTCCCATCCAGCTTTGTCCTTTTGGTGAACCTGCCAAAAAGATAGATGGACTCCTCTTTTTAGGAAAATGACCTTAATTTGTGCTCCACCCACAAGAGAGGAGGCCTGTTTTTATCTGAGTCCTTGGAAAGAGCCCTAGTCTAGAATTCAAGAGATCTGGGTGACTAATCCAATGAATTTAGAGGCCTGGCAGGCACCATAAATGCCTATTGTGAACCCTGCTGAGACTAAGAGAATTGAGAACGGTAGGAGCTTGGATGCCCCTAAAACCTACATTAAAAAGCAGTGACCAGACAAGGGCGAAGTAAAGATTCCATTTCAGGGGGCCTTATCTGGCTCAGGTTCCCTATTTTGTAACCCAAGGCAAATGTGAAAGCATTTTATAAACTTTTTAGTAAGACATGGGGGAGCCATGGTGAGGTATACATCGGCAGAGGCAGGAGCCCAGAAGAAAGGCCCTTATTTCACCCCTGGGGTTGGGCTGAGGCTGTGTCAGGGCATGTGGTCAAGGAGGGCTTCTAGAAGCAGAAGGTGATTTAGTTGAACAAGTAATAATAATGCAAAAGAAAGGGAGTGGGGGAGTAGGGGCGGGGGACAATCCAAGTAGAGGAATGGAAGCAAGGCCGGGCACTGAACAGCAGGGTGGGAACAGAGAACCACTCCAGGATGGGCTTCTGTTCCTTAGTCCCCTTGCATGGTTGCCCATTTGGGGAGACTGTTCAAGCATCAGTGGGCAGGGATAGGATTCTCAGAGCTCAACTCTTCTCTCTCCTGGCTTCCCACCCTCCTTAGGCAGCTAGTGAATGCTGGAGTGCTCACCGTCCGAGACGCTGGGAGTTGGTGGCTGGCCGTGCCTGGCGCTGGGAGATTCATTAAATATTTTGTTAAAGGTATTCTATCCGCATCTCAAGCCTTCACCCACTTAAGAACACCTTTGGGTAGTTTCTCGGGGCCCAGGCCTTATTCCCTTTTCCCCTCTTCTGTGCCATTTCTCCTTTAGGGCGCCAGGCTGTCCTTGGCATGGTCCGGAAGGCCAAGTACCGGGAGCTACTCCTATCAGAGCTCTTGGGCCGGCGGGCACCTGCCGCGGTGCGACTCGGCCTCACCTACCACGTACATGACCTCATTGGGGCCCAGCTGGTGGACTGGTGAGTCTCACCCCCAGCCTCTGGCAGATCACCAAGCAGTGACCCAAGGTTGGATTCCCTCTGCCATATCCCAGGCCAAGCTCTGAGTTTTCCCCAGACTTTAGGCCTGGGGATCTGGCTCCAGCCTCGTCTTTCTTTTGCAGTGTCTCCACCACTTCTGGAACTCTTCTCCGCCTGCCGGAGACATGAGGATTCTCCTCGTCATTGTATACCTCCCCAGAGTGGGGTGAGAGGGACCCAGGAGTCCTGCCCAGTGGTGGCTGAGACAGGGTCACCTTGGCAAGGCATGGGAGCCCAGATGAGTGTTGGCCTTGCTTCTGCTCAAAGGGTCAGATGTGATTGCTGCTGTTTACCTGGGCTCTGACCCAGTGTTGGGGTTTGGGCAATGCTTCTCTGCCCTTCCATGGAAGTGGAGCCAGAAAGCAGGCCAAGGCCATGGCTGTTGCCTTTCTTGTAGCAAAGTCTGCTGTCACTCTCTTGGGATAGGAAGACAGGGTTTTTGGGGAGGCTGGTGAGGGAGGGCAGAGTCCTCTGTTCTATATGTCGAGGTAAAACTGCCAAATAAAGTACTTCTGCCTGTGCGATTCCCTGGATGTCTTTGTTTAATGTGATGTGTATCTGGGCGCTTCGTTTGCGGGTAGAGTTAAAGCTAGACTTGAGCCTGAGCTTTGCCTCGTTGTTCAGAGAGATAAAAGGACACTGAGGTCAGTTCTCCCTATGGGAGATAAAGGTATACCTGATCTAAACAACAGAATTTCTGTTAGGGCCTGCACAAAGCAAAGGTCTGGTGTCATTCAGGTTTTGTGGGGGTTGTAGTTAGAGATAAGCGTCTTGTACCTTGTTTTGTAAAGATTTTTATGAAGGAGCTTGTGTCTCCAACCATGTACATTAAACTATGCCCACACATACTGGAGAATGTGTGTGTGTGTGTGTGTGTGTGTATATGTATGTGCCCCCAGATACACCCAGTAGGGGGGCTACCCGGGGCACTGGGATGAGAGGGGTTAACACAGAAGGACAGAACATAACTCTGGGCCATGATTTCCTCATTCCCTCAGAGACCCAGGTGTCCGGGATGTTGTCCTCCCTCCCCCTGCCCCTACTAAATACTGGGCCTGGGGCCAGGTGCATTTCTTGCCTGTCACATGGTTTCCCGGCTGTGCTGGGCCAGGGGAGGAGCAAGTTCCAGAGTCAAATCTGCTCTAAGCCCTGGGTTGACCAGAGAGGAGTAGGCCGGCAGACGGGTCTGATCCCTCTTGGGTCCTCCAGCCATGAGGCTCCTCTGGGGGCTGATCTGGGTGACCAGCTTCTTCGCCTTATCCCTGCAGAAGCCCAGGTCCTGGAAGAAGGACTCTAGTGCTTGAGTGGGACAGGGCTGGTGATGGGAGAGCCGACATGGGGGACGTGATGGAGGAATGAGGGATGGAGGGGCCCAGGGGCGCTGAATGTGGTCCCCTTCCTGTTCTCCCTAGGTTGCTCCTGTTTTCGCCTTCTGTGGTTCACTTGGGGGTCCCCCTCTCAGTGAGGGTGCAGCTTGAGAATGTTCCCCAGGGACAAGTAGTGACCGGATCAGTGTTCCTGAGAAACCCATCCAACTTGAATGCCGCCTGCTCCCCAAAGGTGGACTTTTCCCTCAGCTCAGAAAAAGACAACGTACACCTTAGCCTCCAGGTAACTAGCCTCCACTCCCTTCTACTGCTTCTTAGTCACTCTCACCCTGCTCCCCTCTGTCTTCTGTTTGGTCATCTCATTGGCCTACCTCCTCTCTCTTCTACCCCCACTCCCCACACTGTTACCTTTTCTGTTTCTGTCTCCATCTCTGGCTTTTTCCTTCTGCTCTGTTTCTGACCTGCTCCCTCTGCCTCTCCTGACAGATCTCCCCGAGAGATGCAGAGATCTGTGGCCTCTACCGCCTCCTCCGTGGCCCCGAGGTCCAGCTGGTGGCCCAGTCACCATGGCTGAAGAACTCTCTGTCTAGAAAGACAGACATTCAGGGCATCAACCTGCTCTTCTCCTCTCGCCGGGGACACCTTTTTCTGCAGACCGACCAGCCCGTTTATAATCCTGGCCAGCGGGGTGAGTCGGACCCCAGGGCCTCTATGTTTGGCTCCCAGCCTGCTCAAGGCATGTTTGGTACCCCGTGAGACAGCCTGGACAGTGCCACAGAGAAAGGCTGCTTGGCAAATATTTGTTGCCCTCCCCCTTGCTCCCTGGAAGCGGTGGGGGCCGAGGCCCACCTTCGCAGATGGATTCCTGCTCAGCTCTTGCCCTTCTCTCCCAGTTCGATACCGGATCTTTGCTCTGGATCAAAAGATGCGTCCATCCTCTGACACCCTTACGGTCACAGTGGAGGTGAGTCCCTGAGCTCTCTGACCTTCATCAGCAGGGCTGCTGATCTGACCTCCTATCTATGACCACTTCTACTCCCACTGCAGAACTCTCATGGCCTCCGTGTGAGGAAGAGGGAAGTGTACACTTCCTCCATCTTCCAGGATGACTTTGTGATTCCCGATATCTCAGAGTGAGCTCCCCCGACCTGGTGACGGTCCCTCCTGTGCCCATCTCCCATGGCTCTCTGCCTCCAGCACCCAGTCAGACCTTGAGCCCCTCTCACAGCTCTGGTTTTCCCCCAGTCAGTCCTCTGGCTCTCCATGGGCCTCTTGCACAAGCGGGCTGAGTCCCTCCCCCATTCGTAGGCCAGGGACATGGAGGATCTCAGCCCGGTTCTCAGATGGCCGAGACTCTAACAGCAGTACCCAGTTTGAGGTGAAGAAATATGGTGAGAGCTGGAGATGGCGTGGGACAAGCATTTCCTTTCCTGAAGAAGATACGGATAGAGGGGGAGGCAGTGGGGCAGGGCAGGCACAGGGAGGTATGGGTGCCACAGCCCTAAGGGAAGTCTTTGAAGGGTCCTTTCGCTAGTCTGACCTGCCACCCCTTCACACTGGGTCAGTCCTTCCCAACTTCGAGGTGAAGATTGTTCCTGGAAAGGCCTACATCCTGACAGCGCCTGGCTTTCTCGATGAGATCCAATTAGACATCCAGGCCAGGTAACTCTCCCATCCTCCATGTCCTCCACGTGGGGCACCCAGGTTTCCCCATTCAGTCTGAAGGAGCTGTGAAGCCCTGCCTCCCCGCGCCGCCCCCACCCTGAGACATTGGCCTTATTTCCTAGACCCACCCTCTTCCCACTCTCTCTGCGCTGACAGGTACATCTACGGGAAGCCAGTGCAGGGAGTGGCGTATGTGCGCTTCGGGCTCCTGGGTGAGGATGGTGATAAGACTTTCCTTCGGGGGCTGGAGAATCAGACTAAGGTAGGAGGGAGGGTGGGGGTGTTGGGGAGAGGAGGAGAGTGTCGGGGAGGGGAGGAAGGTGTTGAGGAAGGGAGGAGGGTGTCAGGGTGGGGAGGAGGGAAACAAATCTCACCCAGGCCCTGTTTTCTTTTTCACTTCAGCTGGTAGATGGCCAGTGCCATATTTCCCTCTCAAAGGCTGAGTTTCAGGGTTCCCTGGAGAAGCTTCATGTTAACATTGCCGACCTCCCTGGGCTGCGCCTCTATGTTGCCGCTGCCATCATTGAGTCTCCAGGTGAGAGGCCTCCCTGATTGTAACCCCAGCCCCCCGCCTCTGACCTTGAGCTGACCCTCTGTTCTCCAGCAACGACACCATTCCCTACTCTTACCCTTGTCTTGTACCCAAAGCCAGGAAAGACCCAGGAGACTGTCCCTCCCCAGCTGTGTTTCTGGGTGGTTTCAGGAGAAGTTAACCCTTTCACTGTCTCAATTTTTTTTTCTTCACCCATCTCTCCGTCCGTCTGGCAGACACAAGTTACACGCTAGGTCCCATGCTGGCCTCAGCACACAGAGATGAGTACAAGACGGCCCGTGCCCTCAGGAGTCTGAGGAGCTGAGTGTCTCGTGGGCAGGAAACACTCGAGCTGTGGTCACCCTGGCTCTCCCACTCCTCTCTTCGTGGCTCTCTGTCCTCCACCTCTTTCTGCCGCATCTCTTGCAGGGGGAGAGATGGAGGAAGCAGAGCTCACATCTTGGCGTTTTGTGTCATCTCCCTTCACCTTGGATCTTAGCAACACCAAGCGACACCTTGTGCCTGGGGCCCCCTTTCTGCTGCAGGTCTCTTTTGGAGGGGGAGGATGAGTTGGGGGTGGGGTGTTGTCAGGAGGGTACAGGGGTCACTGAGCAGTCTTCTTTATCTGTCCCTCCCCTGCTCACCTAGGCCCTGGTCCGAGACATATCTGGCTTCCCAGCCTCTGGCATCCCTGTCAAAGTTTCGGCCACTCTGTCTCCCGGATCTGCTTCTAAAATCCAGGACCTTGAACAAAACACAGATGAGCGTGGCCAAGTCATTGTTCCCATCGTTACGTCAAAGTCCATCTCAGAATTGCAGCTCTTGGTAGGACTCCCACTCATGGGACAGGGTAGGGGAAGGAAAGAAAGGTTGGCCAGTTTCCTGAGAATCCACTTCCTGGACTGGGGGAAGAAGCTGGTGACCAGGGTCCTTGGCATTGACCGTACCCCTGCCCTGCTCCTTTCTAGGTGTCTGCAGGCTCCCCTTATCCAGCTGTAGGCAGGCTCACCGTGAGAGCCCCACTCTCAGGAGGCTCCAGGTTTCTGTCCATTGAGCGGCTGGATCCTCGACCCCCTCGCATTGGGGACACTCTCATCCTGAACCTGCGAGCTCTGGGCGTCAGTGAGGACAGCTTCTCTCATTACTACTACATGGTGCGCAGAAGCTGGTCTGTTGAGGATGGAGGGTGGGGTGCAGGGAGGATCTCAGGCAGGAGAGAGCCCTTGGGGTGGAGGGAACTGTTTCAGGATTGGGAGTGTGCAGTGAAGAGGAAACCACTCTTGCCTCAGATCCTGTCCCGGGGCCAGATTGTGTCTATGATTCGAGAAGCCAGGACGGACCTGACCTCAATCTCCGTGTTTGTGGACCATAAATTGGTACCCTCCTTCTACTTTGTGGCCTTCTACTATCATGGGGACGTCGCAGTGGCCAACTCCCTGCGCGTGGACGTCCAGGCAGGGGACTGCGAGGGCAAGGTAACTGGCATTCAGAGAGGTGGCACGTCTGTGTGTTAGGAGGTCAAGAGAGAAAGAAGACAGAGTGATTGTGAGCAGGGCATGGATTTGGTTTGGGGTACAGTGAGGGCTGAAGGAAGCTCTCCCCACTCTGACTGCCCCCCTCCTCCCACCTCTGCCAGCTGGAGCTGAATGTGGACAGCATCAAGGAGTATCGTCCTGCAGAGTTTGTAAAGCTCCGCCTGCAAACAGACTCTCCAGCCCTGGTGGCACTGGGGGCCGTGGATACGGCTCTGTATGCTGTGGGCGGGAGTTCCCACAAACCCCTCAACATGGCCAAGGTTTGTCTGGACCCTCTGTTCTCTGTTCTCGCCAGCCCTCCCTCCCCTGTGGGGCTCATTGTCCCAGACCCAGCCCTGAGGTCTCACTCAATCTTCCCGCTGACTCCCCGCTGAGCTTTCCTCAAGCCCTGGGCTCTGCAGTCTCTATTTCCCCACTCTCTTCAGGGTTGCCCATGCCTTCTCACCCAGAGCTGGGTGGCCCATCTGGGTTCCTCAACTTGTCTGCAACTTCCCGGCCTTTTCTTGCCAGGTCTTGGAAGTTATGAACAGCTATGACCTTGGCTGCGGTCCTGGAGGTGGGGACAATGCCCTTCAGGTGTTTGAGACAGCTGGTCTGGCCTTTTCTGATGGAGAACAGTTGACCTCCTCCAGAAAGAGTGAGGACAGAGGAGGAAGGGGAGTTGGGTGGTGGGACAATCAGGAAGGAGGAGGGGCCTGAGGGTGTAAGATGAGAAGAGGGTTGGTGGGAAGGGCAGAGCCAGGGAAGGAAGGTGGGAAGGGGAGGTGGGACCCCTATCCCTGTGCTGGGCTGCAGTCCTGCTTTCTATCAGGTCTGAGTTGTCCCAAGAAGAAAACCCGGAATAAGAGAAACGTGAACTTCCAAAAGGCCATTCACGAGAAGTGTGAGTTGTGGGCGCCTGTGCAGCTCTCCACTTGGCCCAAGGGTTAGGGTGACGGGGTCTCCCTCTTGGCTGCTCTGCTCTTCAGTGAGCCTGTATATGGTATTTGGGGCCGGAGACCCAAGTTCTGGGGTTGAAGGTGGAGGGAGACTCTCTCCATTGGCCAGGAACCCGAGTTCTTGGTCTCTCAGGGTGAGTCCTTGTGTATCTAGAGGTCTGGGTGGGAAATGAGATGTGTCTCTGTGGGGTTCCCCTGTGCATACCCTCCCCCGGCCCTGCAGTGGGCCAGTATGCTTCCCCAGAAGCCCGGCGCTGCTGCCAGGATGGGCTGACGAGGCTGCCCATGATACGCTCCTGCGAGCAACGGGTGGCTCGGGTGCGGCCGGCGGCCTGCCAGGCGCCCTTCCTGTCCTGCTGCCAGTTTGCTGAGAACCTGCGCAAGAAGTCCCGCTCCAGGGGCCAGGTGGGCCTTGCCCGAGGTAAGGCTCTGGGTGGGGCTGGGGGACTGGCAAGAGTCTCTCTGGAAGGGCAGAATGGTTCCCCTCCTGATTCCCCCACGCTGTGGTCCCCTAGCTCTGGAGGTCCTGCAAGAGGAAGACCTGATCGATGAGGATGACATTCCTGTGCGCAGCTTCTTCCCGGAGAACTGGCTCTGGAGAGTGGAAAAAGTGGACCGCTTCCTCCAGTGAGGGGGTGTGGTGGGCCTGGCCTTGGCTCTGGGCTGATCTGGAGCCAGCCCAGGGTGTGATGGGGCTTCTCGCCTTTCCTACTGCAGATTGTCCCATATGCTCCCTGACTCTCTCACCACATGGGAGATCCACGCTGTGAGCTTGTCTGGAAAGACAGGTGAGACGGCCCTGCCTGGACCTCAGTCCCCCGCCCCATCCATCTCCCTCTGACCGAGGCTTCCCACTGAGCCCTTTGCTCTTCTTGCAGGACTGGGGACAGACCCCTGGGGACGTCTGCACTGGAATGTGCTGGGGTGGGGAGGCTAGGGAGTGGTGGCAGGTGGGGGGCAGAAATGGGTCACCCCCTTCCCCTCCTCCTGGGACCCTGTGGCCATGACACCCCCAGGCCTCTGGTCTCTGCCCCCTCTGCTACACCCACCACCCCCATCCACCAGGCCTGTGTGTGGCCACGCCGGCCCGGATCAGAGTGTTCCAGGAATTCCACCTGCACCTCCGCTTGCCTGTCTCTGTCCGCCGCTTTGAGCAGCTGGAGCTGCGGCCTGTCCTCTACAACTACCTGAATAAAAATCTGACTGTGAGGCCCTGCAGAAGCCCGAGCACACAGGGAAGTGGTTGGGAGCTGGGGCAGCTGGAGGGTGGGGGGGCCAAACCGGCCTGAGGCTCCGGCCATCCCCGTCTTCCTGCACCTAGGTGAGCGTCCACGTGTCCCCAGTGGAGGGGCTGTGCCTGGCTGGAGGTGGCGGGCTGGCCCAGAGTGTCCTGGTGCCTGCAGGCTCTGCCCGGCCTGTTGGCTTCTCTGTGGTGCCCACGGCGGCGGCGGCTGTGTCCCTGAAGGTGGTGGCTCAAGGGTCCTCAGACTTCCCTGCAGGGGACGCAGTGTCTAAGGTTCTACAAATTCAGGTGACTGGAGCAGCCCCGAATCCAGCCCCCCAGACTCCCAGATTTATACCATAACCCTGTACCCTCTCTGCTGGCCAGACACCTGAAACCATGCCTTGGTCGGTTTACATCTTCTATAATTCTGATCCCACTCTGCCCCTGATGCTCAAACTCCAAGTCCTAGGGAATATGCACTGGGAGGGGCAGGCCATAGTACTGTGTGGCCTCTCATAGCTGTGTTTCCCCTGAGACAGAGAGAAGGGTCCATCCATACGGAGGAGATTGTCTATGAGCTCAATCCCCTGGGTGAGTGGCCCCCTCCTCCAGCCACCAGTGTCCTAATGGGGTTTTAGGTGGTGGGGGATGCTGGCAGCCAAACAGATGGCCATCTTGGCCCATCCCCCACAGACCACCGAGCCCGGACCTTGGAGATTCCCGGCAACTCTGACCCCAATGTCATCCCAGATGGAGATTTCAGCAGCTTTGTCAGGGTTACAGGTGGGAGTGTTCTCCATCTCTTCCCAGGGGCAGCCTCAGATTCATGTGGCACCCAGGGACCCCTGTTTGATCCCACGATTCCACGGGTCCCCAGACCTGGTCTCTGACCCTTAAACCTCCATCTCCCCCTGTAGCCTCAGAGCCACTGGACACTTTGGGCTCTAAGGGGGTCTTGTCACCAGGAGGCCTGGCCTCCCTCCTGAGGCTTCCCCAGGGCTGCGGGGAGCAAACCATGCTCCTACTGGCTCCAACACTGGCTGCTTCCCGCTACCTGGACAAGACAGAGCAGTGGAGCACACTGCCCCCTGAGACAAAGGACCATGCTGTGGATCTGATCCAGAAAGGTTCTGGGCGTGGGGCTGGGAGAGGGCAGTTCAAGGCAGAGGGGGAGCCCATCTAGCTAGAAGGGAGAAGGAAGGGGGTGCCTGATGGGAATGGGGAGTGTGGCCTCCGGTACATGTGGTGGGAGAGCGAGCATCGCCTCAGCCGCTGCCTCTTGTTCCCAAGGCTACATGCGGATCCAGCAGTTTCGGAAAACCAGTGGTTCCTATGGGGCTTGGTTGCATCGGGACAGCAGCACCTGGTGAGGTTGGGAGAGTGTTTCCCGGTCTCTGCGGGAGCCAGGGCTGGGGGAGGGGGCAGAGCCCGATACAGTGGGAGGGTGAATAACCAGGTGCCTGGGTGAGTGGGGATGTGTCCCCTACGGGGACCAGTCGCTGTCCCCAGCCATTCCTCCTTCCCCACCAGGCTCACGGCGTTTGTGCTGAAGGTACTGAGTCTGGCACAGGAGCAGGTGGGCGGCTCACCTGAGAAGCTGCAGGAGACGGCCAAGTGGCTGCTGTCCCAGCAGCAGGCGGACGGGTCATTCCAGGACCTCTGCCCGGTTTTACACAGGGACATGCAGGTTCGGGGTTGGGAGGCCGGACAGAGGTGGGAGGGCGGTCCCTGCCCCTCCCTGCTCCTGGCTGACATCTTCTCTCCATCCCCTTCAACTAGGGGGGCCTGGTGGGAGATGATGAGACTGTGGCGCTCACAGCCTTTGTGGTCATCGCCCTTCAGCATGGGCTGGCTGTCTTCCAGGATGACATTGCAGAGCAGTTGAAGCAGAAAGTGGTAAGAGTGTTTGCCCTTTCCTGGTCCCCAGCTTTCCCCCTCTCTCCCCAGGAACCCAGGTGTCCAGCTCTTTTGACCTTCCTCCCCACTTTCTCCTAGGAAACCTCCATCATCAGAGCGAACTCCTTCTTGGGGGAGAAAGCAAGTGCTGGGACCCTGGGTGCCCATGCTGCTGCCATCACGGCCTATGCCCTGACTCTCACCAAGGCTTCTGAGGACCTGCGGGATGTTGCCCACCGCAACCTCATGGCCATGGCCCAGAAGACCAGGGGTGAGCGCCAAGGGTGTCCTGGTAGTGAGCCTGGGTCTTGGGGGACCTGGGACCCCTGAGTATGCCCAAAGGGAGAAATTGAATGAAGACCTCAAGAAGGAATGAAAGCCTAAGGGATAATTGGGCAGAATTGGAAGAGCTCAATACGGGGAGTGTCAGAGGGCCAGGCAACTAGCCCTGTCCACCATTCACCTGTGGGTCTCCCTTTACTTCCAGATAACCTGTACTGGGGCTCAGTCCCTGGTTCTCAGAGCAATGCCGTTCCACCCACCCTGGCTCCTCAAGGCCCAGCAGACCCCATACCCCAAGCCCCAGCCGTGTGGATTGAAACCACAGCCTACGGCCTGCTTCACCTGCTGCTTCAGGAGGGCAAGTCAGAGATGGCCGACTATGCTGCAGCCTGGCTTACCCACCAGGGCAGTTTCCAAGGCGGGTTCCGCAGCACCCAGGTAGGGGCTGCCAGGGGGCTTCGGGGGTGGGTGGTCCCGAGACCGAGTGCCTGAGTGCCAGCCCACCTCCCCAGGACACAGTGATAGCCTTGGATGCTCTGTCTGCATACTGGATTGCTTCCCACACCCATGAAGAGAGGGCACTCAACGTGACTCTTAGCTCCATTGGCCTCAGTGGGTTCAAGTCCCACGAGCTGCAGCTGAACAACCACCAAATTCAGGGGCTGGAGGAGGAGCTGCAGGTGAGCCACTCCTTCACCTGGCTTGCCTCCCCCACCCCTGGGCCTCCCGTGGCCAGGCCTGAAGCCAACCCTGCCTCCCCCCACCCTTGTGGAATCCCCATGGCATCTCGGCTCGATGTCCTTGTGGGAAGACCTATTTGCCACATGACCTGGAGAAAGTCACCTAACCTCTGAGCTTCATTTTTCTCATCTCAAAATTAATATATGGGTAGTCTACCCAACAGGGTTTTTAGGAGGCTGAGGTGAGGTGTCAGCTCTGTGAGTGGGTGGGAGAGGAGATGAACTGGAACAACCGTGTGCCCTTGTGTGCCCCTCTGATATCCCTTTCCCTTGTCCATTCCTGCAAGTTTTCATTGGGCAGCAAGATTAACGTGAAGGTGGGAGGCAACAGCAAAGGGACATTGAAGGTGAGAGCCAGCAGCACTGAATGCCTGGGACCCCAGCATGGAGGGGCCGTGGTCTTGAGTGGGAGGCCTGAGGGGGAGCTTGTGGTGAGCAGGGAGGGAAGGAAGGAGATGCCCCCGAGTGGGCGGCCCCCCTTATTGGTCTGGGTGCTCCCCCCGAATCTGGTCTCTGCCCTTTCTGGGCACCTGTCCTCTCCTTCTCCCCCAATCAGTGCTGATGGCATACACACCTAGCACCTCAACCCAGGCCTCTCGCCTGAGCCACAGGCCCCACATGTCACACAGCACCTCAAACCCTTTCTTCCTCCCGGGTCCCCTCACCTGACCGACAGGGCCCCTTCCCCACAGGAGCCCAGCCACTGCTCTGGAGGCCATCTTAGTGTCCCCACCCCCACCCTTCCTTATGGCCCCAGCAGCTCGTCCTCGGCTCCCCTGCAGCCCAGGGCCCATGCCACTTGTTTCCTAGACTCTGCTAAGACGGTGTTGGAACTTCTCCCTAACCTGTATCTCACCTCTCTGATCCACTGTGCACACTACCATGAGATCAGCCTTCTGAAAACACTAGTCAGACTAGCCCTGGAGAAAAGTCAGACTCTTCCACCTATACAACTGAGCATCTGCCCACCTCCCTCGCCAGACAAATCCCCTCATGTACACAGATCTCCTCCCCTTGAGTGTCCTTCCCTTCCTTCGTCCCAAGTGACAAACTCGTTCTTCTCCTCCAAACTTTGGCCAGAAGCCTTTCCTGAGCTTTCCATTCCAGCCTCTTCTGGGCCCCATGTAGAGTGCTCGCCCCTGAGGCAGGCCCCTGTCCCCGGTCTCGCCGGGTCTCGCAGACCCTGGGCCACCCGCCTTAATGGACTGGTCAGGAGGGATGAGAGGGGTGGAAGGCCTGGAACCCCTCAGCCTAGGGATGGCCCAGGTGTGGCCTGGGAGAAAGGTCTGGGCCCCAAACGTACCCTGTTCTCACCCCTTGTTGAGCTAGGTCCTTCGTACCTATAATGTCCTGGACCTGAAGAACACGACCTGTGAGGATCTTCAGATTCAAGTTACCGTCATGGGCCATGTTGAATACACAAGTGAGTGTTGGGGCTGCAGGCCGTTGGGCCCCGAGGGGGCCAGAGCCAGCAGCCAAGCCACCCCACTGTCCCTGTGCAGGGGAGGCCAATGAGGACTACGAGGACTATGTGTATGAGGAGCTTCCAGCCAAGGATGACCCAGATGCTGGTTCCCAGACCGTGACACCCCTGGAGCTGTTTGAGAGGCGGCGGAATCGCCGCAGGCGGGAGGCCCCCGGGGTGCCCGACGACCAGGAGTCCAGAGTGCAGTACACCGTGTGCATCTGGTGAGCATGGGGGGTGGGGGTGGGTGACAACGCCGGACATGGGGCACTGCCAGGCCAGGAGACGGAGGCAGGGCAGAGACCGGGGCTGGGTGTCTGCCACCCAGAGCATGTGGGCCCTGGACATGTCTCTCTGCAGGCGGAATGGCAAGGAGGGGCTGTCGGGCATGGCCATTGCCGATATCACCCTCCTGAGTGGATTCAGCGCCCTGCGTGCCGACCTGGAGAAGGTGCAGTCAGCTGCCCAGGCGGGGGCGGGGGGTGGTTGGGAGGATGGGACTCCTTGTGCCCCAGGAGCTCGGGTCCATCCCTGAAGCTATCCCAGCCGCTGTGCCCTGTCTTGTGTAGGGGCCGGGGCCATCTCCCTGTGACCATCTGTTCTTCCCCACAGCTGACCTCCCTCTCTGACCGCTACGTGAGTCATTTTGAGACCGAGGGTCCCCACGTCCTGCTGTACTTTGACTCGGTGAGCAGGGAGGGGCGACACAGGTAGGGTGACCATGGGTTTACTAAGCATGGGTGACCTGAGAGAGGACGTGTGATGGAAGCAGGGAGACAGGATGAGAGTGTGTCGGAGCAGAGTTAGGGGCAGGCCCGGGAGGCTGCCCTGCCTGTAGGCGATGGGGGCCGAGCTCCGGGTGCCGCTCCAGGGCTGGTGCCCATCGGCAGGGAAGGACTCGAGAGTAAGCCCTTCATAAAGCTGAATTTATGTAACTCAAGGGCTGCCTTTGTTGCTTGTTGTTGACCTTTCTAGTTTTTTTGGTTTTTGTTTTTGATATTGAAGTATATTTTCTTTTCCAAAGTGATGACAGTCATAGAGGAGTTGCTTTTGCCTTTCCATGCCATTTTTGGCTAAAACAAAGAATCATTAACCCTCTGATGGCCCTCAAACTTTTTTTTGAGCATTAGCTGTAATCTCTTGGAGAAAATGTGAAAAAGATATAATACTGTAACACCTTTAGCCAGGTGTGTAGGGGTTGAGGAAGCGCCCCCCCCAGCCCAGTGTTTATAGAGGGGCCAGACCCCATTAGCCTGAGAAGTCAAGAAGAGGAGTTTCATTGAACACAGTGGCAGATGAGAAGTCAGGAAGATTTTGGATGAGGAGTTGACTTAAGCAGCATGGCTCGGGAGGGAGACTGGCAGGGAACCGGGCTGGACCAGACCAGTGTAGTGTGGGTGTGAGGAGAGGGGTCTGGGTCTAGGCCATGAGGATGGGCCAGTGACAGCACCTGCCGTTATGTTATGACACATAAAGGGGGGCCTGGGTGCAGCAGTAACGAAGCAAGGCCTTTGTGGCAGGATCTGGGGGTGGGCTTCTGGGGGCAGGCAGAGTGAATTTGGGGAATTTCTATGTCCCACAAGAATCCTACTGCAAGAATGAGGCTGAGTGTTTAATTTGGGAATCATCAGCCTGGAAGGGTTTGGTGAAAGCCAAGGAGCGGCTGAGACCTCCTCAGGGGAACGCGGTGGACCCGAGTAGCCAGGGCCAGGGACTGTGCCTCTGGGAGGGAAGAAGAGGGATGGTCAGGCATGACAAGGTCAGAACCAGGGATGGCCAGAAGCTAACCCTGAGCTCAGAGAGTTTCATGCAGAACGTGTCCATGATGTGAGGGCACTGGAGACTGGGACGAGGTCACTGTCTGGCAGTGACGTGAGCAGAGACCTCGGGGTTTTTAGAGTTTTTAGAGTTCCGGAGCCGGAAGGTACTAGCATGTGAAAGACACTGAAGATAAGACCAGACACAGGTCAAGGAGATGTAGCACAGCGGCCTGCAGGGCCCAGGGGGTGCATCCTGACATCTCCTCCCCACCTCGCCAGGTCCCCACCTCCCGGGAATGCGTGGGCTTTGGAGCTGTTCAGGAAGTGCCCGTGGGGCTCGTCCAGCCGGCCAGCGCGGCGGTGTATGATTACTACAACCCTGGTGAGCGCTTGGAGGGCTCTCGGCAGGTTTGGAGTAGGTGTCCCCATATGGGACATCAGGAAGGGGGGGGGTCAGTGCCGGGTGGCAATGATATCCCCTTTGGGACAGGGGTGACAGTGTTGGGGGGTGTGCATTCTAACTGTACTCTGTCCTGCAGAGCGCAAGTGTTCTGTGTTTTACGGGGCCCCCACTAAGAGCAAACTCTTGTCCACATTGTGCTCTGCTGATGTCTGCCAGTGTGCTGAGGGTAAGAGCTGGGTCTGGGGGCAGGGGGTGGGGTGAGGGGAAGCCAGTGAGGCTGGGGCCTGCACTGGCTCATCTGTCCCCCCCGCCCCCTGGCAGGGAAGTGCCCTCGACAGCGTCGTGCCCTGGAGCGGGGGCTGCAGGATGAGGCTGGCTACAGGATGAAGTTCGCCTGCTACCACCCCCGAGTGCATTACGGTCCGTGCGCCCCCCCCACCGCCCAGCCCAGCTCTGTAATTGGGCTCATGACCGCTGCTGGAACAAACCTGTGCTCCCTTCCCTTAAACTCTCTCGCAGGCTTCCAGGTGAAGGTCCTCCGAGAAGATAGCAGAGCTGCCTTCCGCCTCTTTGAAACCAGAATCACCCAAGTCCTGCACTTCAGTATGAAGGGGCTGGGGCTGGGGGACTTAGGGAGCCGAGGTCGGGGTTTGCGGCCCGGGTGCCTGGGACAACGGATGTTTGGAGGCTGAGCTCAAAGCCCCTCAGCCTCTTGGAAGCTCTGGACTTGGCCATAAATCGAAAAGCAGTGGTACATCCCCATTAGGAGCAGTGAGGGCTAAGCGAGAGGCTCCGTGCACAGCCCTCGGCCCTCACTGGTCCTGTACCTTCCATTCGCCTCTTACAATTCCTGTGCACCTTATCCTCTCAGCCAAGGACACCAAAGCCACTGTCCGTCAGACCCGAAACTTCCTGGTTCGAGCCTCTTGCCGTCTTCGCTTGGAACCTGGGAAAGAATATTTAATCATGGGTCTGGATGGAGTTACCTTTGACCTCAAGGGAGAGTGAGTTCTCTGGGCCTTGCTCTCCTCCCACATGAGGGAATGGATGGATCCCCAGCGTGCAGACCCTGCCTCGCCAGAAGCCAGGTGCCCATCCTCCCCACCCCTGCTGACTGCCCTTTTGCCTCTGCAGCCCCCAATACCTGCTGGACTCGAATACCTGGGTCGAGGAGATGCCCTCTGAACGCCTGTGCCAGAGCACCCGCCATCGGGCAGCCTGCACCCAGCTCAGCAACTTCCTCCAGGAGTATGGCATTCAGGGCTGCCAGGTGTAAGGGCTGCCCTCCTCTTCCGGGGATGCCTGGACGGTCTCTGTGCCCACTGGACACGGCCCCAGGCGGTTCCAGGGGTTCAATAAAGGCCTTTGGCAGCAGAGTGTCAGTGTGTGTCTCCAGGATTGAGAGCAGTGCCCCCAGACCCCTGCCAGCCATGAGAGCAGGGTTTGCCTAATCTGAGGCTCCCAGAGCCTGCATGACCCTTGGGGTTGTCACTCCCATATCATTCCCTGGGAGCTCAGTCCATCTGCAAAGCACGCTGAGCGGACTTGGGACCCCTGCAGCCTGCACCCTAAGGGTCTGGCACCACAGCGAGGCCTCCCTCCACAGCCCTGCTGTCACCAGTCCCTGTGGCCTCAGACGATGCTCGAGCTCAGCCTAACGCCACTGCCCTTCCACCTGACGAGTGGCTGTCGGCCACACGTTTCCCACTCTGCCCTTGTGCAGCTTTGAGTTCTGGGGTCTCCTGCTTGTAGCTGACCTCTGCTTTCTTGAAAGCAGATGGCTGACACTTGATCTCCTTACCAGTGTTTAGGGAACTTTCCTGGCGTTGTGCAGTGACTTTGGTCTGGGTGTTAATACACTGAGTCCGCAGCTCTACTGGGTCCAATCTCCCCACCTGCCTGCCTCACTCTCCCCCATTTAGTGGCACCCCTTGGGTCTTCAGGGCTGATTGGAAATCCAGCTAGAGAAATGGGCTGAGAGTGGGGTTGACGGAAGCGGAGTCCGCAGCAGCCTGCCATCTGATCGGGTAGCTGCAGTTTGTGGGGCTCTCCCTCCAGGCCATGCCCTATGCCAGGTCCCCATCCTTGAGACGTGGGATGTTCGGGAGCTGCCTGGTCCTGTGGGGGCACGTAGTTGGGGCACCTGATCCAATCTGGGGGCAGGGAGAAGGCAAGGGCTTCCTGGAGGTGACCTCTAACGTGGGTTCTGAAAGTTGAGGCGTCACGCAGAGAGAGTGGGTATAGGTGAGGGTATTTGAGCAGATGATGGAGAATAGGAAAGACCCAGAGGCCAGGGGCAGGACAGAGCCCATTTGTGGGCACTGCATATAATTCCATCGTGTCTGAGGTTGGGCTTTGGAGGTGGGGTGGAAGAGCTGGGGCTGGCAAGGGAACCAGGTCAGTTGATGAAGGTCTATTCACAATCAGGCCAGTTTTCCAGGTCACTGTTCTTTCCAGTGGAGCCCCCTCTGATGCCCTGCAGCTCTGAGAGGTTCTGTCTCCAAGGCTCCCCAGGGCTGTCGTCCCCATGGCCCTGTGTCTGCCCATCACATCTCTGTCCCCGAAGCTGGTCGGCATGGGGTGGCAGAAAGCCATTTATGAGAGCCAGGGACTCAGCTGCAGTTGTGGCAAGACAGCCACAGTTTGGGAGGTCAACCCTGAGGCAGGGGCAGCAGTGACTGCTTATTCCTTGAAATGCCACCGCTGCTTTCTCCCTCTCAGCCCTGGGTGTGGATGCAGGCCGAGCCCGAGCCTCTCCACCCACGACCCCCAGCAGTTACTGCCTCAAGCTGGTGGGTGGCACAGCCAGTATCTGGACTCAGGGCCTCCAGCCACAAAGCCTGTGCGCTCTGGGTGGCCTAACCGCTCTCAGGTGCAGGGATCAGTTTACAGACCCAGGGATAGGGAATTGGGGATGATGTGGGCCTTAGGGCCTCTGATCCCTCACTCCCACTCCTAGGCAGCCCTGACTTCTCACTGAGCACTCTCACCTCTTTGGCGTGGTCTCTCGGCAAACCCTGCCCCCCCACCTTTGAGCCTCTCATCTGCCTCCTGGGACCCATTAAAGTGGTTCCTGATTGCCCCACCTGGTCCAGCGGGACCCAACCCATTATGGCAACAGCTCCCAGGATAGGGCTGGACCTCCTGATCCCAGCTGTGGCTCTCCGGCCCCTTCCTGGGGACTTTGACATCGATTGGGGAACTTTCAGTCATGCCGGGAACTCTCTCTTCAGCTGGGGCTCGGCCTGTAACCCGTGGACTCTGACCCTGGAGGCAGTCCCATCCCACCTGCAACTGGGAGCGCAAACAGCCCGTAAGAGGAAAGGGCAGATGGTGGACACGGAGGAGGGAGGAGCCAAGAGTGAGGACCTGGCCCCTTGCTGCAGCTGTGGTGTCCCCCTGTCCCTAGCTTCCAAGAAACCCCCCTCTCCTCTCTTCAGTTCTCTGAGATGCCCCCATATTTGTACAGTAATTCTTTTTGGCTCAAGCCAGCTTGGGTCAGTCCCTTTCTCTTGCAACTGAAGAGTGTATCTAGTATAGTAGAGCCCCCAAACTGGGGGGGGGGGACATAGAGCTCTTCATCTTCTTCAACCTTTGAGATGGAAATGGAGCACAGTTAATCATTACACTGAGACTACAGGTATAAACTGGGGTGGTCCTGACAGACCTGACCATACGGTCACCCCATCTGCAAGTTGAAAGAAAAACAGGCCCCTTTTCATCTGACGGCTGGTGAGGCAGGGATGGCTATTGTCTTTCTGAAGTAAAGCAGCAAAGTGGTCCAAGGTGGGGTGGCAATGGGAGAGGGCTCGGGCTGGAAAGTGACTGTAATTTCCTGCCTGGTTGATGTGGAGCCAGGAAGCCAATTCCGGCTGTGGGAGAAAGGTCAGGGTCGCATCCCCTTTCCTTTCTTCTTGATGGATGAAAGGCCGATTCTTTGACATGTGGACTCCCCAAGGCCAGGCGGACTGTGCCCTTCCAGGATCTGTGGGCAGGACAGTGGGCAGGGCCCCGGGGGGAGTCAAAGGAGGCCCTAGCGCAGCCCGAGCAGCAAGATGGATGGGGGGGCCTCCAACACTATAAGTGGCCCTGCCAGGGCCTTCGCTCGGGGCTCTGGCCATGCTCCTCCTCGGGCTGCTGCTGCTGACCCTGCTGGCTGGTGCCCGCCTGCTGTGGGACAAGTGGAAGTTCCGCAGCCTCCGCCTCCCGCCTCTCGTGCCAGGCTTCCTGCACCTGCTGCAGCCCAACCTTCCCCTCTACCTGCTGGGTCTGACCCAGAAACTGGGGCCTATCTACAGGCTCCGCCTTGGGCTGCGAGGTGCATTGGCTCCATCCTCTCCACCACGGGGTGAGGAGGGGAGAAGCGGGGTCCTCTCCCTGCTGACATCCTGCTTTGGCCATCCCCCAGATGTGGTGGTGCTGAACTCCAAGAGGACCATCGAGGAAGCCATGATCAGGAAGTGGGTGGACTTCGCCGGCAGACCCCAGACAGCATCCTGTAGGTGTTCAGGGCCAGTCTCGAGGGTAGACATGGGCTGGTGGAGGCAGGGAATGTCAGGCCCGTGGCTTCCTCGGGCTGCCCAACCCCTCTCCTACTTGCAGATCAGCTGGTGTCTCAGCACTTCCCGGACCTCTCCCTTGGGGACTACTCCCTGCTCTGGAAGGCTCACAAGAAGCTCACCCGCTCAGCCCTGCTGCTGGGCCTCCGCAACTCCATGGAGCCGCTGGTGGAGCAGCTGACCCAGGAGTTCTGTGAGGTGAGGCTGGATGCCCACAGTCGCCCCAGGGCAGCTTCAGCTCTCCCGGCAACTCCCGGGCCTGTTTAGCTCCTTGTCCTTCTCCGCAGCGCATGCGAGCCCGGGCCGGCACCCCTGTGGCCATACAGGAGGAGTTCTCTTTCCTCACCTGCACCATCATCTGTCACCTCACCTTCGGAGACAAGGTCAAGGTTCTCTTGTCCTCCCTATGCTGGTGCCCTTCCTTAGCCCCTCCCTGACTCTCTCTCTGGTCCTGAACTGAAAGGATTCCCTCTTTGGGCGGGGTGGGCAGGAGGACGCCTTGGTACATGCTGTTCATGACTGTGTCCAAGACTTGATGAAAACCTGGGAGCACTGGTCCATCCAAATTTTGGACATCATTCCCTTTCTCAGGGTGAGGAGGTGCAGCCCAGACTCCTTGGGTCCTGGGAGAGAGAGGGGCTGGGGGAGCAGGCTTCCTTGCCAGCGGCTATACTTTCCTGCTCCCCGCCCCAGTTCTTCCCCAACCCAGGCCTCTGGAGGCTGAAGCAGGCCTTGGAGAACAGGGACCACATGGTGGAAAAGCAGCTGAGGCAGCACAAGGTGGGAACACTGCGTGTCCCTGGCGCCCCCCCGTGGCACACAGCCAGGGAGCCTCCTGCCCCAGAGCTGGGCAGGGTCTCCAGCATCCCACCGTCCTGGACCTGTGGCTCCCCTGAGAGCTGAGGCTGGGCCCTCCTCTCCTCCACAGGAGAGCATGGTGGCAGGCCAGTGGAGGGACCTGACTGACTATATGCTCCAAAGACTGGGGAAGCCAACAGCAGAAGAGAGCCACGGACAGCTCCTTGAAGGACATGTGCATATGTCTGTGGTGGACCTGTTCATTGGTGGCACTGAGACCACGGCGACCACTCTCTCCTGGGCCGTGGCGTTCTTGCTTCACCACCCTGAGGTGCACCCAGGGGGTGGCCTGGCCAGGCCCCAGGACCTCAGCTCACTGCACCCCCCCATGGCCTGTGTTCACCCAGGCGGTGGCTTCTGCTGGTCTGCATGGAGGCTGGGGGTTGGGGGCGGATTGCTGCAGGGGGCAGCTGCAGGCCAGGAGGTGAGGTAGCTCTGGGTCAGCAGGCTCAGGGTTCCAGCCCCAGACACCAGGCTTGCTCCCATTTCCCAGGTTCAGCAGCGACTGCAGGAAGAGCTGGATCGTGAGCTGGGCCCTGAAGCTTCAGGCTCCCAAGTCCCATACAGAGACCCCGCCCGGCTGCCCTTGCTCACGGCCACCATCGCGGAGGTGCTGCGCCTGAGGCCGGCCGTGCCCCTGGCCTTGCCGCACCGCACCACACGGCCCAGCAGGTGACTCCTGAGAGCTAGGGATGAGTGGGACCGAAAGGGGTGGAAGTGGTGGATGTGCTGGCCAGGCTCTGACTCCACCTTCCCCTCAGCATCTTGGGCTACGACATCCCTGAGGGCATGGTCGTCATCCCCAACCTGCAAGGCGCCCACTTAGATGAGACAGTCTGGGAGCGGCCCCAAGAGTTCTGGCCCGGTGCGTGGCTGGGAGGGTGCCTGCGGCGTGGGGGCGGCAGGGGCCCGGTCCTGTGGCTACAGAACCCCGGGTCTTTCCTTCTGCCCGCAGATCGCTTCCTGGCCCCCGGAGCCAGCCCCAGAGTGCTGGCCTTCGGCTGCGGGGCACGCGTGTGCCTCGGGGAGCCACTGGCGCGCCTAGAGCTCTTCGTGGTGCTGGCGCGGCTGCTCCGGGCCTTCACGCTGCTGCCACCCGGGGGCACCCTGCCCTCCCTGCAGCCCCAGGCCCGCTGCGGCGTCAACCTCACCATGCGGCCTTTCCAGGTGCAGCTGCAGCCCCGGGGGGCAGGGGACTGGGAGCTGGGCCAGCACCCATGACAGGGCAGAATGCGCGCTGGTCATACACGCGCCTTGCTCGGTTTCTCCTTTTATTATATTATTCCCGTACAAACCCCTGCCCTCCCCCCTGTAAACATGGTGCTGTGAGATCGCAGATGGAGAAGGCTCCCTCTGGTGGCTGGGTGGTGACGGTGGCCCCTGGCTCTTCTCTCAGCGCGACCCCTCAGTGCTCGGCAGTCATTCTGGGGCGCTGGAGAGGTGAGCGGTCAGCCTCTCTGGGCCGCTGGGGGCCGGTAGCTTCTTGGTCTCAGCTTCATTTCCGTGAAGGGCACAGAGAACTCAAAGCCCTTCCAGTAGTACCAGCTCACCCCCTGGGAGAGGAGATGTCGACACAGAGTCAAAGGCACACATCCCCTCTGCTCTCACCCCTGCCCCTCTGGGGAGACGGTTCCCAGAAAGCAGCCACCCTACCGCCTCCCCCACTCCAAGATCCTCAACTGCCAAGGCCCAGAGGCTTCATCTGAGCTGGACCTTTATGTCCAATAAATCTCCCTCAAGATGCCTTGGTGAGATTGGCATTATTGTCCCACTTCACAGGTGAGGGCCCGAGCCTGCCCTCACAGCCCAGCAGGGCCCCCCACTCCTGGCCCCTCACCTGGTGGTCCACGGTGCTCCCGTAGAGCCCGTTGAGGTTGGCATAGTGGCAGTTCTTATACCACCATGCCCCGTGGTACGAGACGGCGCAGGAGATGAGCAGGTTGTTGGGGTCTCGATCCCGGGCAGAAAAGACGCTGCCACTGTGGTAGCTCATGGAGTCCCCTGGCCAGGTGTGAAAGGAAAAGTGAGGGCCACTCTGGCCTCTGCGCTAGCCTGCCCCGCTCCCAGGCCCAGGCCTGACCTGCCGTGCCATGGTAGCCGTCCAGGTGAAGGCGGTAGTAGTCCGTGGCTGAGTCCACCCGGAAGGAGTCATACTGTGCGAACACGGCCTCGTCCCCGGCCCGCAGGTCCACGCGCATGGAGTAGTCGCCCGCTGCCGTCAGGCTGTGCAGGGCCTCGTTGCCTGCGGGGAGGGAGGGACAGTGCTCTTATCAGGGTCCTGGTGTCCACGGGGTTGCCGTCCCTTCCCTGGCCCTGGAGTCCTGTGGGGCACTGACCCAGCCAGAACTCCCCAGAGATGTTGCCAAAGCCGTGGGCGTAGTCCTCCCAGTCCCTCCAGAAGTCTGTCTGTCCATCCATGCGGCGCTGGAACACCTGAGAAGCAGGCGGAGGCACCATTGGCCTATGGCTCCTGGCAAGGCAGCTCCTTCCCCGGGCAGACCCCCAGGCTTCCGTGTTCCACCCACCAGCCAGCCACCCCCATCGGTCTCCATGTCACAGAACACATCCAGGGGCCGCTCTCGGTTCCCATTCAGGAAGATGGTGGTGGGCCTCGAGGAGCTGGCTCCGTTCTGCATCTCTTCCCCACAGTCCCGAGGAAAGGGGATTGGAAGTCCACCTGGGGAGAGGAGAATGAGGGGCTGGTCCTTTTGCAAAACCCCAGACCCCTACTGCCTGCTCAGCCCCTGGCCATAGGTCCCAAGGCCCAAATACCAGTGATGAAGGAGGTGGACACCGGCGGTGTGAGGCTCTCGCCCCACATAGCCCGGAGCCACACGCTGTAGGGGGTGGAGGGAAAGAGGCCCAGCAGCCGGTGTGAGGTGACCCCTCCTGGGAGCAGGATTTCCTGTGGACAGACAAGGAGCAGGTCAGGGGACAGGTAGCCCCACTGGGAGGGCCAGAGGATGGGGCAGCACCTCCTGGAATGGAAGCTGGGAGGGGAGTTGGCCAGTGAGGGAGGGATGGGGGCACCTGGGTCTGTTCACCAGGGGTGTTGAAACTGAGCAGGTAGCCAGTCGGCAGGACTTGGGGTTCAGTCCAAGTGAGCAGGGCTGTGCGTGGGGTCACTTCCTTGGCCTCCAAGTCCTGGGGGGCCTCCAGCCCTGCGAGGGGAAAGTGGGAAGAGAAGATGGAGACGAGGCCCATCCTAGCTCCTTTGAACCTCCCCTGCCCTGCCGCACACAGCTCCAAGCCGCACCTGTATTGAAGGTGACGCTGGCCGGGGCGGTGAGATTGGGGCCCCGAAGACCACGCACAGTTGCCGTGTAGTTGGTGTGGAGCTCAAGGCCACTCAGAGGGTACTCCACAGCAGTGCCAGGGGCCGAGCCCTGTAGTGAGGGGGCTGGCAGTGGGCTGCGCATCAGCATCTGCCCCCTTTGTGCCCTGCCAGACCCCCTCTCCCCTCCCCGAACAAGTCCCCACAGAGGCCTCAGCCCCGCTCACCCCCTGAGGCTGTGACCCGGACTTTGTACTTGTCTACAGGGGTCTGGGGGGGCTTCCAGTGCAGCAGAGCGGATCCCTCCGTCAAGTTCAGCGCTCGGAGCTGGGTGGGGCCGTCAGGAACTGGGAGAAGGGGCAGGGGGCTCAGAGCTGTCCCCTGTCCCCTGCTCCATCCCCCACCTTCCCAAGCTCCATTGGCCTCTGGTCCACGGTCAGAGCCTCTCACACCTTCCCCCTCCCCATTCATTCTCCCCCTACCTCCTGCGAGGGCCTAGTCCACCCTACCTGTGGTGAGGAAGCCTGTGAGAGGCTCACTCTCCTCAAAGCCACGGACAGAGACCACAGTCACCTCATAGTGAGAGCCTGGGATCAGCCCCTTGAGTTTCTGGGTCCGCGCTCGGCCGTCCACCTGCACACTCTGAGGCTCCCCTGAAAACACACTGGCCTCAGGAGTTTGTCCTGGGAAGTGAGCAGAGTGAATGGAGCAGGAGAGATGAGGGCAAATGAGGACATGGGCAAAGCTTGTCACCTCCATCTGCCAGCTGGTAGGAAACTTTGAAACTGTCCACTCTGGATGCTGGAGGTATCCAGCTGACCTGGGCCGAGGTTTCCCCAATTTCGCTGAACTGGAGGTCACGGGGGCTTTCCAGAACTGCAGAGAGGGTGTGTCGAGACGGCAGTAAGGGCACATGGCAGCAAGGCTCCTGACTCAGGATCCTCACCCCTGCCTCTTCCGGGGCTCCAGTGGCTCCAGCCCTGCTCACCTACCCCTTTCCTCTAGACCCAGGAGAGAATGTCTCTGTAGACATCTCCAGCCCCCAGCACCCGCCAAGCACCACCCCCAGCTGGCTGAGACACGAGGTCCCGCCCTACGATGTACAGACCCCTCACTTCAGGGCAGCACAGGAAGGTGCCCCCTGCAGGGCCTTACCTGGGCTGAGGGTGCGGGCTGTGCCCTGGATGCTGTCGGCCTTATGGGGCCCCCGCAGCCCATACAATGTCAGGCTGTACAGGGTCCCTGGGCGCAGGTCCCGGAGCACAGCCGAGCGCCGTGACCCTGGCACTGTCAGCTCCCGCTGCTGCAGGGGACGCGGGTGTGGCTCCAGGGTACTTGGCGATGGGACCCCGAAGCGGAGCAGGAAGGAGTCAAAGGCCTCTGAGGGGGCCTCCCAGTTGAGCCGCAGGGAACTGGTGGTCACATCGGTCACGGACAGCTGGGACAGGCGGGGCCCTGTCTCCCCGGGGGTCAGGCCAGCAGGAGCAGGCCCTGCACAGAATGGGTGGGGGACAGAAGCACACAGCCTGGGTGGCCTGGGGTGGGGCTCTGGCTCTGTCCCGGGCCCGCCCTGAGTTTCTTATCTGTGAATGGAGCTAATGAGGGGCAAGCGCTTCAAGTGGGACCCGTAGTGAGCATGTGTGTGTAGAGCGGGGGCTGTCAGCACACCCTTTCCCCCTCTGCAGAGCCCTCCTCACGTTCTGTCGCTACAGTCACCGTGCCTGGGCACCCCATCAGCCCTGCTGGTCCCAGACCAGATGTGGGGGAGGCCTCGGTGGAGGGCCCTGGCCTGGTCATACCTGTGGTGCCCTCAGTGGAGACAGGCCCCAGGCGCTTCCCTTCGTGGAGGCCGTAGAGGAAGAATGTGTAGGAGGTGCTGGGCTCCAGGCCTAACACTTGCACCTTGTTCTGGTTGCCGTCCACAAGCAAGGCCTGGGGCTGCCCATCTGTGTCCTGATACTGGACCACGAAGGAGTCAAAGGGGCCCTGGGCCACACTCCACGAGAGGCGCAGGGAGTCTGGGGTTATGTCGCTCACTGCCAGTGTCTGCAGCTGGGGCCCTGCAGGGGGCTCAGGAGCCTCTGTGGCAGGGTGCCAGGGGCCTGGCGTGTCCACTTCCGGGGCTGCGTGGGAGAAGCCCAGGGGAGAAGCTGAGCGGGGGCAGGAGGGGTGGTGATCGAGGCTCTTCAGCCATCTTCCTTCTCGCGAACCTGCCGTTCTCTGTGGTGGCACTGAGTCCAGCTACCGCTGGGCCCCTGTGAGTGCCAGCACTGTGGCCCCATCACCCCTCTGCAGGAGGGTTTACTGTGTTGAGTCCTGTCCTTGCTTCCCCTTCTCTACCTCTGCAGCTTCTCGCGCCGCCCCCACCCCCCGAAGGTGTGTGTGCAGCCTGCTACCCCCTCCACCCCCCGGGTGCCTGTGCTGCTGGTCACTCCTTGAGCTCGGGCACGTGGCCTCTGCAGAAGACCTGAGGACAGAGAAGGGCCCATGTGCTGCATCCCGCTGAGCTGAGCGGGGTGTCGGCACGTCCCAGGGAGGAGCCCTCTCTCCCAGCGCCTCTCGCCTATGTCCTTCTCCAGTTATTTTCCACTTGAGAGAAAAGGCTCCTGACTCATTCACAGGAGGGGGTTTGCCTCTGTCCGGTAAGAGCTGCCTCAGGAGAGGGACTACGGGGAACAGCTGTCAGCATGGGGCAGCGGGGGGGGTGTTGGGAGGCTGGGGGCCGTTGCCAGGGCCTTTCCTGTGCCTGCCCTGCGCCTACCTCCACAGACTCCTTGGCTACCATCCGAGCAGGCCCCACCGCACTTCCCTCCCTCCCGCGCTCTGTGCAGGCCTCCTTATCCCCCAGGCCCACTCCTGCCAGTCCCTTCGACCTTTCACTCACCTGTCACTCCCAGGACAGAGACGGGGCCCAGGCGCTGTCCCCCGTGGAGCCCATACAGCAGAAACTTGTATTTCCTGCCATGCTCCAGACCCTCTATGGTGACTTCCCGCTGGTCTTTGGCTGCAGGCACTGCCTGGGGCTGCCCAGCTGGGTCCCTATACTGGACCACAAAGGAATCAAACGTGCCCTGGGCCACTGTCCATGAGAGGCGCAGGGAGTCTGGGGTCCCATCTGTCACTGTCAGCTCCCCGAGGCGGGGTGGGCGCTGCCGCTCCTTCTCCAGGGGAGCTGTGGTGAGAGCGGGAGGAGAAACTCCGTCAAGAGCTACCTCTACCGCAGCCCTGGCGCCTTCTGGGAGGCACGAGGCTCTAGGAGAGGGTCCCTGCAGTGTGGCTTCGATCTGCCCAAAGGAAGGACAGCCAGCAGCTCCATCTCTCCTCTGGAGGCCACTGCCCTCACTCCTTCCTGCCCCCACTCCCTCCCTGCTGTGACCAGCGTGCAGTAAATGCATAAAAGATCACCTTGTGACATAGGGCCCCTGGTGGGGGTAGAGAAGGGCTTTAGTTTCTCCCTGGCCCCCTGAGCAGGGATGTGGCCGGAGCCCAGAAAGGCTCCCAGCGTGTATCTGGGTTGTCAGGGAGACACCCCTAAACCTTAAGAGCTGGGCTGGCAGCCAGCCAAACTGATGGGCTCCCAGAGCTTGGCCATGACCTCTCCCTCCCTTGCTATCAGCCTGGGTCGTCCTTCTACCCAGTTGCCCAGCCCTGCACTACTAGTCCTGGACCAGGGCACTGGGGCGGGGCAGCACTGGGAGAATGGAGGGCAGAATGCAGAAGAGGCTGCCCCGATGGGGATGGGTGCTGGCTGATAGGGTCAGAGAAGACTATATCCACTCCCCACAATGGGAGGTAGGGAAGAGAATTAGGCAGTCTCAGGGTACCAGGCCCCAACTGACCATGTGCTCCATCCCCATCTGGCCAGGGTGACTCATGGTCCTGGGAGTAGGGTAAGGGTCAGTGACCCACCTCCACCCTTTCCTCAGGGGGCTGAGTAATGGGCACAATGACACCAGATTTTTCCATAGTCTTTCTGCAGCCAAACCCTTCCATATTTTCCACCTCCTGCCTCAGCTGGGACATAAGCAAGAGGATGGGAACATTTACGGAGTGCCAATCCGTATTTATTATGCCTACGCAGGTACAGAAACTGCGGTTCAAGGGAAGGAAGTGGCTGTCCGTGGCCACACCACCAGCAATTGGAATTTGAACACAGGTCTGCCTGGCTCCAAAGACTGGATTCTTTTTATGACATCAGCAGTCAGTGAATGAAGGGAATAATGCCTATAACATGCTAAGGAAAGTGTCTGGCACACGACCGAGACTCAGTAAATATTTGCTTTTTGCTGCGGCAAAGGCTGAAGGTAGGAGAATAAACGCCGGAGGCATGGATAGGTCGGTGGGGGGTTGGCTCTGGGGGCACAAGAGAAGGCAGCTCTAGAAAAGGTGGGGTGCAGTGCGGGGGCTCACCTGTGGTACCATCGGCAGAGATGGGGCCCAGGCGCTTCCTGCCTGCCAGCCCATAGAGCAGGAACTTGTACTTCCGGCCGGGCCCCAGGCTGGGGATGGTGACCTCGCGCTGGTCTGCGGCCACGGGCACCACTCGAGGCTGCCCGTCCCTGTCCTTGTACTGGATCACGAAGGAGTCTAATTCACCTTCAGGGACCGTCCAGGAGAGGGTCATGGAGTCTGGGGTCACGTCTGTCACTGTCAGCTCCCCGAGGCGGGGAGATTTCATGTCTGAGACTGGAAAAGAGAGAGAGGTGTATGGAGAGTGACAGAAATGGTGACAGACTGGCAGAGCTTCCCCAGGGTGCAAGGGCTCTGGGAGCTGGTTCTGGGAGCTGGGAGGGGGTGGCTAGGTCACATGGCAGGAAGTGGGACAGCAGAGGGATGAAAAGATGAGCCAGGGAAGAAAGCAGCATCTCTCAGGATGGAGGAAGAGGGGGGAGAAGGATGAGAAGGGTAAGGGGGGTGCTCCGGACCTAGGAAATAAGCAGGTCCACAGGCCCTGAGGTCTGGAGTGTGGAGCACGGCAACAGGAAATTCTAACTGTCAGCACAAGGGGGCGAAAGCGCACTCAGGAGGCTCTAGTGCCAAAGACGGCCTCCCGCCTCCAGCCCTCACTCACTTGTCTTTGCCTCTGCAGACACTGGGCCATGGCGTTTCCCATCCCGGAGGCCAAAGAGCAGGAACTTGTACTTGCGGGCCGGGTCCAGGCCCGATACTGTGATCTCATGGAGGTGTCCGCCCACAGGCACCGCCTGGGGCTGCCCCTGCACATCCTTGTACTGGACCAGGAAGGAGTCGAAGAGACCCTGGGCCACTGTCCACGAGAGGCTCACTGTATCGGAGGTCACGGCTGCTACAGCCAGCTCCCCCAGGCGGGGTGCTACAGGGGGCTCTGTGGGTAGGGAGCCTGGAACAGAGCAGAGGAGGCTGAGGGGCCAAAGGCAGGACCCTTCAAAAGAGAGGGAGTGCTTTCCCCAGGCTATGAAATGAGTGTTTTGTAGCAAGCTCTTCTAACGTGTTTAATGTGTCCCAGGCATGGCTCTAAGCAGCTCACACAGCAGCCCACGTATCCTCACACAACATACGAAGGAGATGCCATTGCCATTAGCATCCCCATTCTGCGTGGATTTGAGGCACAGAGAAGTTAAGAAATGTTCATGAATTCATACAATCACTTCGTCTAGAGCAGGAATCAAACCAGAGAATCTGGTCCTGCAGCTGCATTCTGAGTCAGTAAAATACTCCGGAAGCCTGAGGAGGCCATATATGAAGAACGAAGCAAGATCAAGAAGACAAGTACAATTTATGAAGCGCAGGGTACACACCAACAGACGGAGAACGCCGTCCCCACCATCCTCACTCAACTAAGGGATGACGCAGGATCATTAGTGTCATAAGAGAAAGGAGAGGGACTTAAAGGACCATCTTTGAGGTGCTGAGATCCAAAGGGGGGAAACAAGAGAAAATGGAAGGAGACCTTGGGGACAGGGTCCCTGCCAACACTCACCAGTGATGCCCACAGTGGACACGGGGCCCTGGCGCTGCCCCCCGTGCAGGCCATACAGGTGCATCTTGTA